CGCGCTTACTTCGCTAATGAACGAGGTAGATAAAATTTTGGTTAATGCATATACGATGTCACGTCAAAAAAGGATCACACGCAATCTCGTAGGATTTAATTTAACTTTAAACGACATCGGGATAAATGGTGCCAGAACGTTGCATAGTGCAGAAAAATACGGCAAGAGATAGAGGGCCTTTGTCTTTACAACTCTGTTCTCTAATGAGAGATAAACAAGAGCTCATCTGTGCTTCCACGTTTAATTTTCCGACTCCCAGCAATCAGGAAATTAGCGTTGTCTGAGAGTTGAAAGCGACTCGTCCCGCTTCTTAATACAAGCGCAAATGAGAGAATATACCTCGTTGTCTCCAGAAAGTTCGATGTACAGACGTATATATACAGATGCAATTCATACTAACAAGGTAGCTCGTTAATCCCCATCAAATGAGATCATCTGACGGTGCGCGATGCGACTCAAGGAGAGGACTCTTCTAAAACTTGTCCCGCGTGCAAAGGAATAATTTTGATTACAAAAAGAATTTAATCCCTGCACCCTCGGTTACATTTTTTTCTCGCTAAATTTTTTTTACGTGCTCTGCTAATGAAATCTCTTTCTTTCTCTTTCAGCTAATTTCGTCTCTTGCTGTGTGCGACTTCGTTTAATGTTTCTATTAGCGAGCATTTTGCTGTACGGTGCAATAAGTACAAAGTCTTATCTATAATTTCATTATGCAATTAAAAATAATTTAATTTATTTGCTAAGGAACGAGACATTTCGAGTTCTTCTCAACTTATGGAAAAGGAAACTGTATATACGTGAAGTTCAAAAATATCTATAAAGATTGAGATTAATAGTGTTAAGAAATTTCTCCAGAGCCTTTCCTCTTTGTCAACAAGTGCACGTACAAAATTCACGAAGAATCGTAAGCAGAAACCTTTGCGGAAGTTGTCTCTCGAATTGCTCGCTTTCGTGAGGTCGCGGAAAGTCCGACTTCAATCAACACAGAGGGTACAGTCGGGTTACCTCATCCTCCTCCAACTCTTCTCGCATTAACAATGGAACATCCGGCGTTGGTTTCGTGTAAACACTCGTGCCCCCCGACAAGGCACTGCGCCACCTTATGGCATTCAAGCACCGCCGCCGGTTGAAAAGCTCACGTGGAAGCGACGAGGGTGCGAATGGTGATGGTGGTGGAAAGCTCGCTCGCGCTCGACTCGAGCCGTGTCTGTTCTTTATTGCAGCAGTTAAACAAGCTCGCCTGAATATTTGATTGGCAATTCCACGGTCTCACAAAAGATCGCGTCGGGACTGACTAGTCCTGTGAGGGCACGAGACCTCTAAGCGGGTATAATCAACCGCATATAATCAAACCTAACCCGCCGCTTCTGTCTCATCTCTGCTCCGTCTCTCGGCAACTTTCTCTCCGGAGTCGGGGAAAGAGAGAGAGAGAGAGAGAGGATGTGCGCGCGAGCCGCCGTTCTAGCCAGATATAATCTCGTGAAGCAAGCATGTCCGCGATCGGCGGAAAAGCTGGATTAACCTCGGTGATTCTAATGAAATTCGTCCTCGGAGGATTTTCGCGAAACGACGGGCTGTAAAATCTTGTCGGCCACCTCCCGCGGAAAATTGTTCGGCCGGTAAGCGCACTGAATTGTCCCTCTCGGGCGTGTTTCTCGCGATCGAACTAAAAGAACGATTCACTCGCGCGTATAATATAATGAAAACTATTGCAAAGTTCACTTACGTAAATTTTTGCAGAAATTGTATGGTAACGTTTAGTAAATGACATTGACTAGGTCACATTCTTCGCAATTTTTTGATAACGCAAATGGTATTACTCATTATTTGTAGATACAGGCAACGTGTACATGTAATAATATTTTAAATGCCGTTATATTATTGTACTATTCGAATTAAACACAACTATGCAAATTAGTACTATATTTGAATGGCATGCGCAGTGTCTTTTAAGTTGTATATTTCTTTTGAGAAAACTTTTCTTCCTACAAAATACAATAGTTTATTAAAACCTTTTTTTCATCACTAACTTAAATCGTTTCAAATATATTTTTTTCGTAATAAATATGAATTCGTTGATAAAATTTGACAATTATATTGCAATTTTTAGAAAATAGCATCAAAAAGGAAAAACGATGATTTTAAGAGTTCTCATGGCATTGTAGCATCGATATTGAATTTTTTCTAAATTTTATTCGTATCATTTGAAAGTAACAGTTTTTACCTTTGAAATACATATTTTAATTTATTTTGATGCTTGTTTATAAAACATATTAATTTAAAAATATCTCCTTTTTTATGTGTTATGATAATAATATCAGAAAAGCGTTATTTTGAAATCCTATGCATTATATGGGGATTGACGAATGAGAAAAGAACTATTTTTTTTAATTTAAAAACCAAAAAAAGTATTGAAAAACGGAATAAAATGTATTTTAAAACTTGAAGTTGATAATTTTGCGAGTTTTTAATAAAATTTAGAAAAAAATTAGTATCGGATGCTAAAACGTTATGAAAACCTTCGTCTTTTATTGTCTCTTTAACATCATTTTTCTCAAAATTGTGACCATATTTTGTTAATGGATATCTTTGGTTGTATAATCTTCGCGCCTCTGAAGAGCTTCTTCTATTTTCATTATAAATAACAAGCATCTCTATTCTTTCCTCTTTTGTATAATCACTCATACTTCAAATCTGATATAACGAAAGTCTGAGGAAATACTAAACTACGAACTGTTTATCTACACTGCACATACAATACATGTTATGGAATGTGAAACATCTCACCTTGAAATTCATAACTTGAACATTGTTTACAACGATGTACCAACTATACAGGAGAACATGAAAGTGCGTATTTAGGCTGCATGTGCAATATCGTCTCCAAAAATGTATTGAAGTCCGAGGGTATCATTTTGAGCATCTCCTTAAATAAATATTTTGTTAGAATAAAGTATAAAATATCTCGTAAACTATTGATTTTTTGATATCTCTACCTTAATACTTTTATATGCAAAATAATTAGAGGAATCATGTTATCTAAAAAAAAAATTACATAATTCCATTTAAAAAAATGGAGGTGACCTTCATATCTTCTTAACGCCTCCACTTAGAAAAAAAATAACGTGACTAAAACGTGTCCTCCTCGACACTGTTCCGTTTTCATTTGAAACATTTTTATCAAAATTAAACGAAATATTCAAGATGTTCGATTTAAGTGGACCACCCTGTATATTGACAGATTTACAATTTCTACCATTTTATTCATTTTTGGATTATATGGAAGATTTTCAAACTATTGTAATGACGCTATCAGCTATATATCACACAGCATATTGTATATACACAGTATATTGTACACAGCAGCACATTGTAGGAAAAATAATTTTTGGCGTCAAAATATCCAGGAGCCATTTTTTAATGATGCCTGTAATAATGATGACTGTAACTTTCATATCTTTTATTGTTATTACACTCAACCGCTTAAAATATAATATATTTAACATTGATAATGACCCCCCCCCGCGCCATTAGAGTTAAAACGTCTATAAAAACGTGTGTTTATATTATCGTGTTTACTTTTATTTACGAACATTAAATTAATCTATTATTTTTGGCTCGTAACCATTTTCAACATACTTTTATTTAATTTTTAATTTTTTGTATTTAGTAATCTTTAAAACATCGATTATTTATAGATTAATAATAAAAAAATAAAATAATATGTTATGTGGCTTAGAATATAAAATCAAAACAAAACAAAGAGCATACAGCCACAGCGCTAGTTATAATGAGCGAATGTCCTTTATTTAAAATAAACAGTTGTCTAGACGTTTCAGTCTATTTCAGACCATCATCAGTAAAAATCATTACAATTAAAAATATTCGAAAGTCATACAATTATCGCAAGAGTACATTTACACAATCCGCCGTTCTCGCATTTTTTTATATAATAAAATGTTATTACGTGCTTGTTCCTTTCGTCGATCGAAATTGGCGATCCTATTGTATAAATCTGTTTTTTAACGTCAAGTGCTTCTATTATAATATTAGTCAATTTAACGGATCTTCTTATATATTGTAAGTGTTCTATTTCCATGTTTGCACAGAATTTCCAGAAACTATTACATATGTGTTTACATTAACATTTAATGATGCTTATGACTTTAATTGTATAATACAACAATATCGTTACTAACGTTGGGTAGATTATTAATTATTAAGACAATTATTATTCCTAACAAACATACCTGTGATAACATAATTAGAATCCTCTTTAAATGTAGCAATTGACAGACGTTAAATATTTTATTTTTGTGTTTTATTTTCTTGTGAATCATATGAAAGATCTTAACCAAATGATATCAGTGTTTAAACTTAGAAAGGAATTGATAGGAGAAGGGAGAAATTTTCTTCTTAGTAGTGGGAGGAAGAGGTTTTGGAGATAATGGGAAGATAGAAGTCAGGAAGTCTTTCCGTGTCGCTTTGCTTATTAATGCTCAATTCCTGTGATTTATATGTATCATGTCGGAGATCATGCGTTTATAATATGATTGTTCTAAATCCATTATATCTATATCATCCCATTTAAACTTATTATTATTTTCTAATTGGTGGAGTGATACTATAGAATTATTAGTGACAGGTTTTTTTTATGTCTGCTTTATGTTCCTTTATACGTGTTCCTTTATGTTCCTTTATGCGACGTCTTCTGCGCCCGACTCCTATTCTTGTCTATTCTCACCAATTTACTTTGAATTATCAGGAGTCTTGAATTATAAGAGTCCGATTAATTTTGTTATTATAAGATTTAAAATAATTTTGAAATCTAGTTGCTCAATGCATTATCTATTTATTACAAGTGCAAAATACATTCAATATTTGTAAGTATAATTTTAAAATTTAACGTGTTTAAAAAAGATAGTGCATTCATGTTACATAACTAATAAAAATCATAATTAATGCATTATTTTATAGATAAAATGTTATATACTGTGCTCTTGCGATGTTGATAATAGAAATTATTTTTTCTGAAAGAAAGTTCATCATTTATATTAATTTATGTCTGCTTTATGTTCCTTTATACGTGTTCCTTTATATTCCTTTATGCAACGTCTTCTGCGTCCGACTCCTATTGCTGTCTATTCTCACCAATTTACTTTGAATTATAAGGAGTCTTGAATTATAAGAGTCCGATTAATTTTGTAACTTCTAGTAAACCCATTTGTCTTAGTAAAATTTCGAAAATTGTTTTCAATGCAAAAAGTATATAATTAGAAATGGTAGTTATGTTCTGAGAGTCACTATTTGACGTTCCTGTAACCATAGTTTGGATTTCATTCTGCAATATTAAAAAAATTTCTATTTACAATAGTACACTGTAAAAAATAAAATGTTAATTTTAACTCAAAGACGTTGAGTAGATTTTCTGAGACATGCAAAAAATGTTAATTTTAACATTTTTGCATGTCTCAGAAAATCCATTCAACGTCTTTGAGTTAAAATATCAATCGAATATCAATCGGTCGTTCAATCGTTTGTTCATCTACACGATTTTATCTGGTCCAAAATGTCCATCGCAGCCAATTTAATTTTATATGGATATTGCGGTTTATAATATAATTTAATAAAATAGATTTTTGTATTGTGAGATTATTTAATGTATATATAATGTAAAACTTGTCAACATATTAAAGTAGAATTTATAATTAAAATGTAGCTCACCTCTTTATTTGAATTTTGATAAATTAATATTATTTGACTCTTATTAGTTCTTTATATTACGTAACTGTCAATTTTATATTAAGAGCCCTTGTATTCAAATTATTATAAATATAATAAATATAATTTTTCGGTAAAACTACAGAAAAGGGGAGCCATTCCCGATGATCTTGACCTTGACAACAAATGCCAAGGTCAAGGTCATCGGGGGTGGCTCCCCTTTTCTGTAGTTTTACCACAATGACTCACTTGAATAACACGAGAAATAAGATAGTATTTATTAACACTGTTTGTACAAAAATGAATAGGTGATAGCACCTTGATTATAAGGCAGCTCAGAGAGAACTGAAAATGAATAAAGGAAAAAGACTGATGCTGCCACGTCGCACTGTCGCGCTGATCGCTCGATACATTTGCGGGAAAAATAAACTAAAAAAAGAATACGCTATCGATTACAATAAATCTATATTGTCTCACAAGTGGGTTTGTAACAGCGCTGGTCGCAATACTCAAAGCTTCTGATATTATTGATGATATTGATCTTGCATTATCATTGAATTCAGTGTTATTGTCATTCCTTTGATTAAATGTCTAATTAAAAAAAAAAAGGTAAAAGATTAAATATTAGAAGAAGTTATTAATAAAGGAGAAGGTAGTGTTACATTACATTCGTTAAAATATTCAATCGATTCTAAACTCAAAGTTACGAAACATTTATTACTTATTATTAGAATATTTAGAATTTTTTGTTTTAGATAAGTAGAACCATCCAATCACGTAGAAGCCATGCGCGAATGTTTTATTTTTCCCGATCACTTCAAAGCGGTCCATTGAAGGAATAATTTTTATTTTTCAAAAATTTCTAAACATTATAAATATTATTAAATATGAGAAAAGAAACTTGATACCAATAATTTTTATGAACTTGTCATAACTCATTCCGAAAGGAACGCAAAAATATCACACTACAACCTTTTTAAAATGTCATAACATTATTTTCAATTCAGGAGTTAAAATAAATAAATGTATACATTATACACTAAAGATATATCCTTATATAGTAAATAGATCGAAATATGTAATATACGTATTATGCTAAAACACGCCTTTTTAAATAATTCCTCTCAGTCCTTTCATAATATTTATATAGGATATTTCTTTATATACTTTTAGTGAGAGAACTATTATATTTTTTATTCTTCTGACAATTTAATAGGTGCAAAACAATGATAAAGATTGTTTGTAATTAGGATATTAAAAATTTCTTTGATAAATTATTATATATTACTTTATAATATACTATTGTACTATATCAACGTATACATACAGTTTTTGCAAAAACGATTCCGATAAAGCCCAATAACAGAAGTATGCGGAACGCCTTCATGTTCGCAGTATATCAAATACAATAGAATTAGAGTTACAATGAAGATTTTAAGTTTCTTTAAATGAAGTACATTTTACGTTTCGACTTGCAGAACTCCTTTATAAAGGAAAGCTATCTTATCGTTCTTTGAAAATTGTATCAAAATTGTACAGTAGATCAGTAAATATGTAATTATTAAAATTACAGAATAAAACTAAAGATAAACATTTAAAAATAACCATCTTTGTTATCGTGAGCGAATGTCCATGTACGTCATCAAGTAACTTTATAATTTAATTTCTATTGTTTTTTAATAAAAAAGTTTTCCATGCAATATAAAATATTTTTTACTTTAATTATTTATTTATTCGTTACATTTAATATAAGTATACATATATAGTGTATGTAATATTATACAAAGTAACAAAAAAGTCAAAGACTAATAAAATATTTTGAAAATAAGACGTTTAAGAAAAAAATGTTTTATACAAAATTTGTAGAATTTCAATAAATACATCAAACAACGATATTTATTTGACTTTCAAAGGAAGTATGAAGAAACACCCATGACCCAAAGTCAATTTTAACATTTTTAATAAAAACTCACTTTCTGTTTAATATTTTTATAGATATTAAGATTAAGATAATTAATTGTACTCGGAATATACTCGTATAAGAGCAGCATAGAAATACGATGCATAAATGTTGCTAATCAGCTATTTTGAGTCTACTTTATGATCGATTAAGGTTTCGGGAAGAGATTTTTATTGAAATCCGAGTGCCACACACAGGTGTCTTCTTTCTTGTTGTTTACCAAATGTTAAACAAGAATAACACGATGTCTGAGTAACATTTAGATGGGAATGCATCCTTGTGTCGTGAATTTATTTTTTATTTCAGCACTATAGACTGTAATAAAGCTCTTTTCTTACTTTTGCCAAATATACTTATCTCACTTTAAGTTGCAAAAGTATACTTAGTTTAGCCACAAAAAAAACAACTTGTAGTATTATGCGATTTTAAGAATTAATACATGTAACTGTGGATACAACTTTTGTGATGTTTAAATGTTACGTAAGACGCTATACATCTTTGACTTTCGATTTTTGTTCGGAACACAGAGTTCTATACGGGAACTACAATTCTATTTGTAATAAATAATCTGTTAATTCTTAATTGATATTTTCGCTTAAGATTGATAATTCATAAATTTTTTATTTATAACATTATAACAGTATAGTTTTCATTACAAGGTTTTTAAAGTGATATAAATATTACAAAAGTACTTCTTTCGCAATTGAGTTACCATATAGAAATATATAAAAAAACAGAAACGTTTGAGAGATAATCCATTCTGAAACACAAATTTATTTTTGGATACAAAAGAGGAATATCCCTCTTATATATACCTATATATACAAAATTTATAAATTTTTCATCAACAATATGTTGTCCATTCCCGCTATTATGTGATATTACGATATCTTCTTCTCTTGTATCTGCATAACTGTCATGTTATTTCTTCACCGTTTTCAATTTTATTTTCTTTTGAGTTTTCTATGTATCTATTGTTATTCTTGTTTCCGTTATTATGTCCTTTGTTCTTATATTTAAAAATTGTATATTTTTACTGTACGATATTGTAACAATTTCCTTTCCTCGTGTATATTTGTTTCCCCTTCCGCTCTTTTCTTTTTAGTAATTGCTGTGAATTTATTTTTTCGAAATATCGTAAATCTTTGTAGATACCCATCATTATACATACATATTTCTATATTCATAAATATATTATGTGATGATGTAATTTATTTTAACTGCATGTTTATATACCATCTTTCTTATATTTTACGCATTATATATCAAACTGTACGGTAATAATTAATATGACCACAGATAAAGAATAAGTCATGTTTAAATTTTCTGTAGTTTAATAGAAGCTATTCAAACGTTCGCTTACATAAATTGTTGCAGTAATTGCTTGATGACGTAGTTGAAGTAACATATACAAGGTCACATTTTTTTGTAATTTTCTGATAACGAAACAGTATTACTAACTATTTATACATAAGCAATTTATATGTATGATAATGTCTCAAATACTGCGATATCACTGTACCGTTCAACTTAAACACAACTATACAAATTTGTGTTTGAACTGGCACGTGCAACGTCTTTAAGCTGTATATTTCTGTTCTCTTAAAAATTATTTTGTGACATTCTAAGTATAACTGGCTAAAATGAGGAGAGACTAATAGAATTAATATCAAAGTTAGTTATTGTCTACGATTTATATTCACATATTTCTTCACAAGTAGATATATATTATAGCTTAAAAATAATTTATTTTATTTTAGCTAATTATAAACGCGTGTATGTGTTGCTTGAAAAGATGTTTTAAATTGCATATATTCACGCAATATTCATGATATATTATATTCTTATTTTTGTTATTTTTACCATTATTTTTCTGATACTTGTATAAGTTTAATGCTTTTACTAGTTACGCAACTATAATCAATTTTTTATACATGGAAATTATTAGTGCCATAAAATAAATATGATTTGAACAATGTTATTATATGTCAATGAAAGCAATTAACAAGTATCTTATTTTTATTGATAAAATCATAAACATTAATAATACTATTCAACATCATTATGCAATACGAATATTACTGATCATTTTGGATGTATTATATTTCCATCTGCTAAACACGAATCTGTTAAAATTTGCCTATGATACCATACTTTTGAGAAGAAAAGAGGAAGAATCAGTGATCGTGAGGGTTTCTTTGACTTGTAATACTAAATCTTATTCGATCATGCTATACAAAAGTAATTTTTATCTTCAAAATGCATTTTAGTTAATTTCTACGATTTTTGTTTTTGAAATTAACGTATCAATTTGAAAGCAGTTTTTTTCATACTATATTTCGTACTATAGTATTGATTCAATTTACACCGAGCACTTGATACGTGTATTAACTAGTAACTTTTTATTAAATTATTTATTTTAGTAATGCATTTAAAGAATATTATAGTAAATTTATAGTATAATATACGTCGAAATGATTAAATATGTTTACACCTATCACCAAAATTAAGATAATTCAATAGAAAGTAATGGTTACTAGTTAATATCAAATGCATATTTTAAACTATTCTGATGTTAATTAACATTAGCATTGAGTCATGCTCTAAACGTGTTTTTTTTTAAGTATTAGTAAAACTCACTAAATAATGATCTATATTCTTTTCCTAAAAAAATTATTTCATCTAGAAAATAAGTTTTATGCGTTGCTGTCCCTCCCATTCCTACGTATCCTCCGATAAATACGGAAAGTCATCTTAGAACACGAAATTCCTATCGTATATGTTAATATTTTCGCAGCTAAACTTTTTTTATTTGTTCATTAATTAATTTTCTATTGTATTGCAAAAATTTTACAAACTATTAAAAAAGTTTAAAACAAAATTATTTATGTTGGATATTAGAAATAATACTTAAAAAATGTAATAAATATTATATAAAGTGTTTAAAAATATTCAAACAAAAATTAAAAAACTAATTTTTTTTTTTTTTTTTTTTTTATCCGATGTATTTACGAATTTTAAATTATCATCCTTATATTTAAATTAATCAAGTATTATTCGGTGATATTATAATACTACTGTAGTATTTATGCGTTATATGTCTGATGTATCAGCGTGCATTTAAAAGGGGGGGCTACATATGTGGTGTATAAGAATTCACTCATACTTATTATTAGCACTTTGATCCAGCTTTGACCGTTATAGGCGTTTAATTCCTTCATTGTTTGTAAAAAATTAAAAATTTTTTTTCTAATTAGTTTACTTTTTGTACACAATATAATGATAAATTACATTGTTTAAAATGTAAATGCAACAAGTGTTTAATTTATACCCATTTATGCATAAAAAAGTTATTTTTTAATAATTTAATATTGTAACTAACTTTTCAGACAGTCAATACTTGAATTATTCTTTTTAGTAACTAGAGTTTGTATTTTTATATATAAAAAATACGTTTTTCTTGCATTATTAATTTACTCTGTCACAGTAATTAGTACAATTGTTATAGTTATTACTTGTAACATTAAATAAATACGTTTTTTATGATTATTTAAATTTACAAATATTTTCAAAAATGTGTTAAATTCAGGCCAAAAGTTTGAATACACTTAACAAAACCATTCTTTGCTTTCAAGACCACATTTTTCATTAAAATAATCATTTTTTGATCGCTTGTATCTCCAGAACGGCTTAATCGATTTAAAATTTTTTTTGCTCAAATTACTCGTGACGATGCCACCTTTCAGGATATATTACGTGCGATTCAAAAGTTTTTATATTTTAGTAGTTATGCACCCCCGAAGAATGGATTTTGGTGGCTCGGGATAAGAGACTTGTAGCATCTCTTAGTTTTTGAACATGGTCGGAGACACTACGCGTCTTCTGATACTTGCGAAATCGACTGCGTTCGATAAAATTCGTTGTCTTATCGCGATCACGAAAAGTCAAGAGCGACGGTTTAGGAAATATACATTGCAAGCAATAAACTTCAAATGCGCTAAAATAGAGAGCAAGTTGTCATATTTAAAAAAGATCTATTGCTATAATAAGTAAGCGTAAACTTTAATTATAAAGTTTAAAGCGCAATTAATTATTTGATCTAAAACAATAGCAATATTAATAATAAACAATTGATCGTTAGGCTCCTCTACTTTCACTGAATAAAATTTCCTAAAAAAAATTCAAACGAGGCATAATTACAAGAGACATAATTAAAAGCTACTTTTCCCAGGATTTGAAGAACTTTGACAAACTTCTCGAGGAAACAAATGAATAGCAAAACCTTAGTCTCCGGTTGATGTCAAGTAGACTTTAGTTTAACATTAAGTTAAGCAGAACTAAAAAGTCTTGATTAACTAAAGTTAATTGAGAACTAAGTTACCGAGTTCTTTAATGTGGAGAGTTTCGAACTTGCGAAACACGGTATGGCGTCCAACCGAATTTTCGTCGCAGCAAAACT